ATTAATGAGATAAAAATAACAGACTGTAGGGAAGAGAACCTTCCAGAAGGATTAAAGATATGGGAGGGAATAGTCTATTTGCTGCTATACCCAAATAGTGAAGCTTTGCTGGAAACAGGCACCATCCACACACACACACTATTGTGTAGATCCATGTCCCTACAAATCTAAGGTTTCTATCCTCATCTGTTCCTTTGGGGGAATTCTTGATAATAGGATCTCAGATCTAGAGCATTCTGGGTGGTGCCAAGTTGTTATAGAATTGGTCATATTAGGCTAAGGACAGGAGGAGGTAAAAGCATTTTTTAAAATAGTTAAGCATATAAAAGAGGTTTTCTAATCATTGAATGTGGATTCTACAGGACAGGGTAGAAATAATTGTGATATAGAATGGAAGAAGTAGGAGCTTAGAATAAAAGAGACAAAGCCCAACATGGTTTTAGAATGCTGAAGATGATAGAGGAAACAAACATTTATGCTTTACTTAGTGTTAAAAGACGAGAGGATATGAGATAAGGTGGGATTGTTTCAAGACTTCAAACAGAATACTAATTCAAAGTTACTTGGATGAAAATAAACTTGAGGTTTCGTGGGGTGCCTGGGTGGATCAGTCAGTTAAGCGTCTGCCTTCAGCTCATGTCATAATCCTGGGGTCCTGGGATGGAGTCTTGTGTGGAGCTCCCTGCTCAGCAGGGAGTCTGCTTCTCCCTCTTTCTTTCTGCCCCTACCCCCCCCGCTCATGCTCCCTCTCTCACTCTCTCTCTCAAATAAATAAAATATTTTGTTAAAAAAGAAAGAAAATAAACTTGAGGTTTCAGAGGCAATCAGAGTGTTAACAAACTAGTATGTAGAAAAATGCAAGAGCATGACTTGGATAATGGGATTTTCCCTTAAGCTGAGCTCAGAGAGAAGCTTCTGTTGTCAGAGACAAGACAGGTCTAGTGGGGGTAGTTGCATAATCTGTAGGAAGTAATTCAAGTATAGGAAACTTTTAAAGACATCTTAGATACAAATTTCCAAATATATGTTTCTAATCTTGATTTCTCTGGAAGTCTAGATTCATACTCAGTTGCTAACTTGACATTTCCATTTGGATGTCTGATAGGCATTGCAGAATTGACATGACCTACACTGAATTCTTGTTTATTTTCATGCCCACAACCTGTTCTCCCATATCAATCCCATATCCCTGTTCTTCCCCATATCAATAAATGGTGCCATAACCGATTCAGTTTACTCACACAAAAAAAATTACAATTACCCTTGATGCCTCTCTTCTCTTCATTTTACACCCCACACATAAAAACAAAGGTTGCTAATGCTACTTCTAAAACATATTTTAAACCTATCCTCTGTTCTCAAATACTTTCGTCATCACTCTAGCCCAAAGCACTCATGAATAGTCTTGATTCCTGAAATCACCTCAAACTAGTCTTCTTTCTTCTTTTGTACACCTTTTACCATATATTCTCTATAGAGTAGAAAGAGGGATTTTAAATATATACAAATCTACCATTCCCTTGCATAAAATTATATTCCATTGTATTTAGGAAAATGTCCAATTTCCTTCACTGGATTCACAATAACTTGAACAATCATATATTTGTCCTCACCTTCTAATGTTCTCCCTGTAACCTCCAGTGATCCAAATACATTCACCTTTTAGTTCTGCTTCTCTAGCATATGTAGTTCATTTCAGTCTTATGGCTTTTGCACTGGCTGTTCCCACTGCCTGGAATGCTATTTCCCTAGAGTTTCACATAGCTTTCTGCTTCTTATCAGATCTCAAAATAAGACTTTTTTTTTTTCAGAGAGGTCTTTGCTGGCCACCTAGTCTAAAATAGAATCCCAGTTGCTCAATAGCACCTCACTTTGTGTTAGTGCTCTGACACTTTTCTTGTGTGTGAATTTGTTTGGTTAGATTGTAATTTCATTTATATGTCTGCACATATAAATGTCTCTCACATCCAGCTAGAATGCTTTATGGGAACAAAGAACTATCTAACTACTAGCTACATTATCATTGAAAAGCTACTTCAACTATCTGTGCTTTAGTTTCTACTCTATCAAAAGGGAAAGTTGTACTATATATGCCATAGGGTTGTTCGGATGGTAAAATGAGTAATACTTACATGCTGCTGAGAACTTACACAACACACAAGATACTCAGTAAAGGATTGCTGAATGCATAAACAGGAAGAAATTGCACTATAGAATAAAAGGTATGAAATATACTGGTGCCCATGAAGAGCCTTGAAAGCTATAGTGGAGAAAGAAAGCAGCATGAGCCCCTACCTGGGTTAACAAAAAACATGACAGCTTTAAAACATGGCACATATTTTTACTACTTGTTTTGACAAGGACAACTAGAAATTCTGTTTAAGAAGCAGGAAAAACTGGACCATCAGAGGGAAGATCAGGGATAACTAGAACATCAGCTGAAGGATCAGGAATAATTGTGTTATCATCTGTAGTGACAGGGAAAACACGACCATCACTGGGAGGATTAGCAACAACCAGATCACTAGCTAAAGAATTAGAGATGACTGGACCATCTGTTGTAGGCTCAGGAACATTTGTACCACCAACAGGATTGACAGGAACAACTGCACCATCACTTGGGTTAGCAACAATTGGACCATTAGCTGACGGATTAGGGACAACTGGATTATTTGCTGGAGTATCTGAGACAACTGAAAGCTCTGTTGTGAAGTCAGGGACTACTGGACCATCCATAGGAGGATTGCAAACAACTGAACAATTGGCTGAAGAAGCACAGACAATTGGACAAGCAGCTGGAGAATCAGGAACTACAAGACCATCCACTGAAGGATCAGGAACAGCGGGACCATCTGTTCTGAGTTCAGGGACAACTCAACCATCATCTGAAGGATCAGGAACAACTAGAACCTCTGTCATAGGTTCAGGGACAAACACCATCATCTGGAGTGCCAGGGACAACTAGACCATCACCTTGAGATAAAGAGATGACAGGACCAACAACTGAAGTATTAGGAACAACTAGATCATCAGCTAGTATATCAAGGACAACTGGATCATCAACTGGATGTTCAGGGACAACTGGAACATCTGTTGTAAAATCAGGAACATCTGTATCATCAGCAGGATTCACAAGGACATCTGTATCAACACTTGGGTTAGGAACAACTGGACCATCTGCTGAGGATAAGGAACAAGGCACCATCTATTGTAGGATGAGGAATGTCTACACCATCTACAGGGTTGGCAGGATCAAGTGGACCATCAGTTGGAGGACCAGAGACACTGGAACAGCATCTAGGGTCAGGGACCATAGCACTATCTACTGGAGCATCAGGGACAACTGGAACATTAGCTGGAGTAGCAGAGAAAAACTAAAACCTCTGCTGTAACATTAGTGACTACTGGAACATCCACAGGAGGATCACAGACAACTGAATGATCACATGAAGAAGCGGGAACAAATGGATGAACAGCTAGAGGTCCAGGAACCACAAGGCCATCCATTAGAGGATCAGGAACAATGGGATCATCAGCTTTAGTTTCAAGGACAACTTACCCATTATCTGAAGAATCAGGGACAGCTAGACCATCTGTTTTAGGTTCAGGGACAACCGACCATCATCTGGAGTGACAGGGACAATGGGATCATCATCTGGAGATTCAGACACCACTGAACCATCAGCTAAAGAATTAGGAACAACTAGATCATCATCTGGTATATTAAGGACAAGTGGACCATCAACTGGTGGATCATGGACAACTAGACCATCTGTTGCAGAATCAGAAACATCTGTACCATCAGCAGAATTGACAGAAACATCTGGACCATCACTTGGGTTAGCAACGATTTTCTGGAAAATGAGAAGGCTGATTTTCCTGAAGGATCAGGGACAACTGGATCATTTGCTGGAAAAGAACAGGGACAACTTTATCATTTGTTGGAAAATCAGAAACAATTGGAACCTCTGTTGTAAGTTTAGGGACCACCAGACCATCCATAGAAGGATCACGGACAACTGGGTGATCTGCCAAAGAAGCAGGGACAACAGAATGAGCAGCTGGAAGATCAGGGAAAACAGGACCATTCCATGGAGGATCAGGAACAACAGGACAATCTATTTTAGGTTCAGCTGGAGTGACAGGGACAATTGGCTCACCAGCTAGAGAATTAGGAACAACTAGATCATCAGCTGATAGATCAGGAATCATCCAGAATCTGAATAGTAAATGAAAGAATGTCTGTCTTATATTCACATGATCTATTTCCAGTGAGTTAACTCTGATTCTCCACTGGAAGAAACCCAGAAAAATAATTGCATCTAAACTTATGATCAAGAATGAATGAAATTAGGCTCCAGCTTCTGCAGAGACAGAGAGTTAGGGTTACTGTTATTCTCAGTGACTACATTTCATAGAGACAGACCTTGGAACCAGGTCTTTGAGGAAGACATTCTTGGGTTGTAAAACTATCCAGAGACTGGGGGAAGATTTATATCTCAAAAGGGGAGAGAAAGAATTTACAACTACAAGTTTTCTAAAGTAAATGTGCTAAAAGAAGAGAGTCCAGGGCCCTATAATCAGGAAACCTGTCTAAAATTTACTCAAGCTGACTTTAGGACATCTTGATCAACACAGATGTTTTCTGTTTTTTTTTTTAACTTTATTATAACTCTCCTAAAAACTAATACAGGAGAACCAGGAAACCCAATTTTAGGAAGTAAAAGAATTAGTTGTGAAAAAAGTTTGTATCATTTAGAGAAAGTGACCTATAAGTGAGAAATTTACCACGGTCATGGGAAAATACTCAATTCATTTCTGTCAGCAGGGTGTTGTTAAGACAGAGCTCTTATGTTTCAGCCACAAGAGCATGCACTAGCATTAGTAGATGCATTAGTACACTGAAGGTGCTCTGAGACTCTTGTTCCATGTGAAGGTGTCTTAGGACCTTTTCTTCTGAGAGCAGAAAAAGTTCATTGCTTTTCCTCTCTTCATTTTAGGTACCTCCAGGGAAGTATTTGAAACAACCACTGCTCCTGGAATTTCTACGACAGGTAAGTCAAATAATAATAAATGAACTTTGCTTGGTGACATCTCAGAAGACAGAGCAGCTTATCGGAAGTCAAACTCTAGCTTCTCCAGTCACCACTTTTGTTATTCCCTTAGCAGTCACTGCTTCCACAGAAGTCAAGGAAACCTCTGAAACTAGAATGCAAACAAATGAGTGCTGGCAATATAACTTCCTGATCAGTGTACCTGTGTCTGTTAGGTCATTTCTCTCCTGTTGCTGGCTTCTGCTAATCTTCTAAGCATCTATAATTGGGGATTAGCTTAGCCTCCCTCAGTAAAGAGAGACATTTTTTCCCCAAACTCCCACATCTTTAACGAATTTCCTTTCTCTTTTTCTGTACCTATTGGTTGTTGAGACCCCTTTACCTAAACATGTAACAATTTTAAGTTCCTCTCAAACATTCTGTTACTTCTAGGCTGGCCTTTTGCTTGGTAGGTAAATAAAAATATTAATTTGATGTTTTAGAAGTTTGGAAATAGAACTTGAAATTTTGAGTGAATTGTTGAATTGACCAAAATATGTGATGTGTGAAGATTTAAAAAGAAACATATAACCAGCTTAAACCATTTGGTGGAAGTGGAGATGGAGTAAGATTGAAATATTTCAGGAAGTTAAAAAAAAAAGGATAAAAGTTCTTAAAGGACTAAAACTGGATAAGTAATAATACTTATATTTTTCCTATATCTGAATTATCCTCTTCCTTTTTGAATATATATTTTACTGTCATATTAATTGGAAGTGTCTGCCAAAATAAAATTTCAAGAGAAGTTTACCTTGATGTTTTCTCCTTTCTCCTTTAGACTCTCATATTCCCCTCCCACTAAAATTTGAGCTTCAAAGGGAACATTCTCTAATGGTGGAATTTGAAATGCCATGAGGAGCAGAATGGGAAGGTAGACAGGAATAAGTTTGTTTGTAAGACTAGCGATGTAGCCAATTATTTTCAGTTATTAGAAATTTTACCCCCAAGCAATTCCATAACTTTAGAGGCTAACATGCGGTGTCTGTTTTTATACAGGGTGTCCACCATCACATCCACCACCTCCAGGTAATAATACTTCCACTTGAAATTGAATCATTCTACATTCATTGTTCTCCTTGCAAATCAAATATCAGAGGTCATGCCAATAAAAATCGCTAGCTATGGAAATGTTACAGAATAGGAAAACTTGAAATGGATGAGTTTAGCTTTTATTCACCAAATAGTGAGAGGTAGTCTGTTTTCTCACCCATAAACTAATGCAACCAAACCAAACAAATGCATCTTGTTACTTACTCAAAGTAGAGTTTACCTACTAAATAAAATGTTTTAGACAGTTAAGAATGGCTTCGTGGGGAGGGAAAGATGGCAGAGGAGAGGGGACCCTATTCCAACTGGTCCCCGGAATTGAGCTGGATATCTATCAGACCACTCTGAGCACCCACGAAATCAGCCCGAGATGTAAGAAGATAGATCTGGATCTCTACAAACAGAATATCGCAGGTGGTTGGTTTCAAGGTACGAAGCAGGGAACTGTGATTCCGTGGGCAGATATCAGAGGATAAACGGCAGTGGGAGGGAGCCTGGCCATGGGGATCCTGCACTGCCAGTGAGGGATAGCCTCCCACGCTGGGGATGGGGCACAGACTTGCAGACCAGTAGCAGTGGGGAAAGGACTTCAGGGCAGTCCCCCAGACTGAAACCAGAACTGCGGGGCTACGTGTGTGAACTGGGGGAGACTGGCGGTTTTAGAAGCACAAAGGGCAAAGATGTGCCCTGACCTGGAGGCGAGGACTGGGAGCACTATTGAGGGGCACACAACCCAGAATGCTGCAGTTTATAGCAGCACAGACAGAAACAGAGACAGTGTAGCTTGGAGAGCTCACTGAAGAACAGACTGCAATCTCTCTGCTCTGAGGCAGGGGGTTGGAAACGGTCTCTTCTGCTCTGACTCTCGGAAGAGATGCAGAAAGCCACCAGGGAAAGCCGCCAGAGAACAAAAGCCCCCCCAAAACTGGTTTTCACTGAGCCCATCCCCCACCACAGGGGGCAGGGCAACTCTGCCCAAACAGGGTTGCCTAAGTGACAGTGCGGCAGGCACCTCCTCCAGAAGACAGGCTGGGAAAACAAGAGGCTGGCAACCCTAAGGTCACTAGAAAACAGGTGCATCTTGCTTGGGTTGTGGTCAGTAATTTGGACTCTATACATTCCCTCAACCACCCGTCAACAGAATGACTAGAAGGAGAAACCCCCCAAATAGGAAAGACTCAAAGATTATAACTTATGCCACAGATTTACAAATGGATTCAGATATAACCAAGATGTTGGAGATAGAATTCAGGCCAGCAATTGTGAGGACAATAGCTAGAATGGAGAAATAAATTAATGGCAACATAGAATCTCTAAGGGCAGAAATGAAAGCTGAATTGGCAGAACTAAAAATGCAATCAATGAGATCCAATCTAATCTAGATAATCTAACAGCTAGGGTAAATGAGGCAGAATAATGAATTAGTGACCTGGAAGACCATTTAATAGATAAAAAGGGAAAAGAGGAGGCCAAGGAAAAACAACTCAGAATCCATGAAAATAGAATCAGAGAAATAAGTGAAACCATGAAGTGTTCCAATGACAGAATTATTGGAATCCCGGAGGAGGTGGAGAGAGAGAGAGGACTAGGAGATATATTTGAACAAATCGTAGCTGAGAATTTCCCTAATCTGGGGAATGAAACAAACATTTGTGTCCTAGAGGCAGAGAGAACCCCTCCCAAGATCAAGGAAAACAGGCCAACACCCTGGCATGTAATAGTAAAACTCGCAAATCTTAGAACCAAGGAAACCATCTTAAGGGCAGTTAGGGGAAGAGATTCCTTATGCACAGAGGGAGAAACATCAGAATAACGTCAGACCTATCCACAGAGACCTGGCAAGCCAGAAAGGCCTGGCAAGACATATTCAGGGTACTAACCGAGAAGAACATGCAGCCAAGAATACTTTATTTGGCAAGGCTGTCATTTAGAATGGAGGGAGAGATGCAGAGCTTCCAAGACCGGCAGAAACTGAAAGAATATGTGACCCCTAAACCGGTCCTGTAAGAAATATTAAAGGGGGTTCTCCAAAAGGAGAAAGACTCCAAGGATGATATACAACATAAATTTACAGGGACCATCTATAAAAACAAGGTCTCCACAGGCAACATGATGACAATTAATTCATATCTTTCAATAATCACTCTCAATGTGAAAGTCCTAAATACTCCCATAAAACGGCACAGGGTTGCAGATTGGATAAAAAGACAGGACCCATCCATATGCTGTCTACAAGAGACTCATTTTGAACCTAAAGATACATCCAGACTGAAAGTGAAGGGCTGGAGATCCATCTTCCATGCCAACGGACCTCAAAAGAAAGCTGGGGTAGCAATTCTTATATCAGACAAATTAGATTTTAAACTGTATTTTTAGACTGTAGGTAGAGACACAGAAGGACACTATATCTTTCTTAAAGGGTCTATCCAACAAGAAGATCTAACAATTGTAAATATCTACGCCCCCAACATGGGAGCAGCCATCTACATAAGCCAACTGTTAACCAAAATAAAGAGTCATATTGATAACAATACATTAATTGTAGGAGACCTCAGTACTCCACTCTCAGCAATAGACAGATCATCTAAGCAGAAAATCAACAAAGAAACAAGAACTTTGAATGACACACTGGAGCAGATGGACCTCATAGATATATACAGAACATTCCACCCTAAAACAACAGAATACTCCTTCTTCTCGAGCACACATGGAACTTTCTCCAGAATAGACCACATACTGGGTCACAAATCAGGTCTCAACTGATACCAAAAGATTGAGATTATTCCCTGCATATTCTCAGACCATAATGCTTTAAAACTGGAACTCAACAACAACAAAAAAAAAATTGGAAGAAATTCAAACACTTGGAAGCTAAAGACCACTCTGCTCAAGAATGTTTGGGTCAACCAGGAAATCAAAGAAGAACTTAAACAATTCATGGAAACCAATGAGAACAAAAACACATCGGTCCAAAATCTATGGGATACTGCAAAGGTGGTCCTAAGGGGGAAATACATAGCCATCCAAGCTTCACTCAAAAAAAAAAAATAGAAAAATCCTGAATTCACCAACTAACTCTACACCTTAAAGAACTAGAGAAAAAGCAACAAATGATGCCTAAGCCATTCATTAGAAGAGAAATAATTAAGATTAGAGCAGAGATCAATGAATTAGAAACCAGAAACACAGTAGATCAGATCAACGAAACTAGAAGCTGGTTCTTTGAAAGAATTAATAAGATTGATAAACCACTGGCCAGACTTACCCAGAAGAAAAGAGAAAGTACCTAAATTGGTAAAATTATGAATGAAAGGGGAGAAATCACGACTAACACCAAGGAAATAGAAACAATTATTAGAAATTATTATCAACAACCATATACCAATAAACTGAGCAATCTGGATGAAATGGATGCCTTCCTGGAAACCTATAAACTGCCAAGACTGAAACAGGAAGAAATTGACAACCTGAATAGGCCAATAATCAGTAATGAGATTGAAACAGTGATCAAAAACCTCCCAAAAAACAAGAGTCCCAGACCTGATGGATTTCCTGGGGAATTTTACCAAACATTCAAAGAAGAAATAATACCTATTCTCTTGAAGCTGTTTCAAAAAGTAGAAACAGAAGGAAAGCTTCCAGACTCATTCTATGAGGCCAGCAATACCTTAATCTCCAAATCAGGCAAAGACCCCATCAAAAAGGAGAATTTCAGACTGATATCCCTGATGAATATGGATTCCAAAATCCTCAACAAAATCCTTGCTAATAGGATCCAACAATACGTTAAAAGGATCATCCACCATGACCAAGTGAGATTTATCCCCGGGATGCAAGGGTGGTTCAACATTCGCAAATCAACCAGTGTAATAGAACACGTTAATGAGAGGAGAGAGAAGAACCATATGGTCCTCTCTCAATTGATGCTGAAAAAGCATCTGACAAAATACAGCAACCTTTCCCGATTAAAACTCTTCAGAGTATGGGGATAGAGGGAATATTCCTCAAGTTCATAAAATCCATCTATGAAAAACCCACAGTGAATATCATCCTCAATGGGGAGAAGCTGAGAGCCTTCCCTTTAAGATCAGGAACATGTCAAGGAAGCCCACTCTCACCACTATTGTTCATCATAGTACTAGAAGTCCTAGCAACAGCAATCAGACAACAAAAAGAAATAAAATGTATTCAAATTGGCAAAGAAGTCAAACTCTCTCTTTTCACAGATGACATGATACTTTATGTGAAAAACCTAAAAGACTCCACCCCCAAATTACTAGAACTCATACAGCAATTCAGTAATGTGGCAGGATACAAAATCAATGCACAGAAATCGGTTGCTTTCTTATACACTAACAATGCATCTGTAGAAAGAGAGAGAAACGATTCCATTTACAATAGCACCAATAACCATAAGATACCTTGGAATAAACTTAACCAAAGTGGTGAAGGATCTATACTCTAGGAACTACAGAACACTCATGAAATAAATTGAAGAAGACACAAAGAGATAGAAAAACAATCCATGCTCATGGATTGGAAGAATAAACATTGTTAAAATGTCTATGCTACCCAGAGCAATCTATACCTTCAATGCCATCCTGATCAAAATTCCAATGACATTTTTCAAAGTGCTGGAACAAACAATCCTAAAATTTGTATGGAATCAGAAAAGACCCCGAATCACCAAGGAAATGTTGAAAAAGAAAAACAAAGCTGGGGGCATCACGTTGCCCGATTTCAAGTTATATTACAAAGCCGTGATCACCAAGACAGCATGGTACGAGCACTAAAACAGACATACAGACCAATGGAACAGAATAGAGAGCCCAGATATGGGCCCTCAACTCTATGGTCAAATAATCTTCGACAAAGCAGGAAAAAATACGCAATGGAAAAAAGACAGTCTCTTCAACAAATGGTGGTGGGAAAATTGGACAGCCACACACAGAAGAATGAAACTCAACCATTCTCTAACACCATACACAAAAATAAACTCAAAATGGATGAAAGACCTCAATGTGAAACAGGAATCCATCAAAATCCTAGAGAAGAACATAGGCAATAACCTCTTTGACATCGGCCACAGCAACTTCTTTCAAGATACATCTCCAAAAGCTAGTGAAACAAAAGCAAAAATGAACTTTTGGGACTTCATCAAGATAAAAAACTTCTGCACAGCAAAGGAAACAGTCAACAAAACAAAGAGGCAACCCACAGAATGGGAGAAGATATTTGCAAATGACACTACAGATAAAGGGCTGGTATCCAAGATCTATAAAGAACTTCTCAAACTCTTCACCCAAAAAACAAATAATCAGTCAAAAAATGGGCAGAAGACATGAACAGATACTTCTCTGAAGAAGACATACAAATAGCTAACAGACACATGAAAATATGTTCATCATCATTAGCCATCAGGGAAATTCAAATCAAAACCACATTGAGATACCACCTTACACCAGTTAGAATGGCAAAAATTGACAGGGCAAGAAACAACAAATGTTGGAGAGGTTGTGGAGAAAGGGGAACTCTCTTACACCATTGATGGGAATGCAAGTTGGTACAGCCACTTTGGAAAACAGTGTGGAGGTGCCTCAAAAAATTAAAAATAGAGCTACCCTATGACCCAGCAATTGCACTCCTGGGTATTTACCCCAAAGACACAGATGTAGTGAAAAGAAGGGCCATATGCACCCCAATGTTCATAGCAGCAATGTCCACAATAGCCAAACTGTGGAAAGAGCTGAGATGCCCTTCAACAGATGAATGGATAAAGAAGATGTGGTCCATATATACACTGGAATATTACTCAGCCATCAGAAAGGATAAATACCCCAGGATGGGACTGGAGGAGATTATGCTAAGTGAAATAAGTCAAACAGAGAAAGTCAATTATCATATGGTTTCACTTATTTATGGAACATAAGGAATAACATGGAACATTAGGAGAAGGAAGGGAAAAATGAAGGGGGGGAAATCGGAGGGAGAGATGAACCATGAGAGACTATGGACTCTGAGAAACAAACTGAGGGTTTTAGAGGGGAGGGGGTGGGGGGATGGGTTAGCCCAGTGATGGATATTAAGGAGGGCATGTACTGCATGGAACACTGGGTATTATATGAAAACAATGAATCGTGGATCACTACATCAAAAATTAATGATGTATGATGACTAACATAACAAAATAAAATAAAAAAATAAAATAAAATTGTATAATATGAAAAAAAAGAATGGCTTTGTGGGGGTGGAGGGTGGAATAGAAGTTATAGTTCAATATATATGAACTATATATGCTGAATACACATGAATATATCTATATATGAATATATAGAAAAAATGAAGGGTTTTATATAATAATATATCTTCATCAAAAAATTGTCATTTGATAATTTTTTTTTGGACAAACATCTTTATTTAAGAAATCCAATAAATAGATGGGGTTAAAAATTTATGGTAGCAACTTCACACAAGGGTATGAGACCAAACTTAGAACTACTTGCTCAAGTTATTCAGGACAGAACAAAATTAAATGCTCACAATTAGCACAGAAAATATCTGGTTATAGTACTTGTTTTTAAACAGACATTTACTAGTTTACAGTAAGATCCCACTTGTTACAGACCACTCCCCACCCCCTTGGTGTGCAGCCTAAAAAAGCTAAGAATGCAAATGCTAATGTAATATAAACTTTTCTTTGTTTACAATTCCAGAATTATAACTTTTTACTGGTATAACTACCAGCAGGTTCACTTACTTTGGTTTACTGTCGGAGGGAAAGGCAATATAAGAACATAACCTGTCACTTTGGTCCCAGCCTCCCATTTTACAAACATGGATCCAGGATTCTGGATTTATAGTGGCATCACTTTGACAGAGGCAGGCCTGTGGCATTTGGCACTGCAAATGCTGTTTGCTCCGGCTTCTTGGGGAGTGCTATGTATACTGCCTATATGGTTTTATAACAATATCTCTAGATGTGCAGAAGCCCATGTACATGCTATCAACTTCAGTCAATACTACAGAAACTTCCAGTTTTCAATCTGTCTACCAAAATCTTGACAATGACATTTGGTTCTGAATTGTGACATCAAGATCAAGCTATCTGAATGAGTAGAGTCAAAAGCTCATTCTTAATTTTTAGAAGAAAGATATTTCCAAGGTTATAGAGAGTTTATAAATAACACTGTTCACAAGCAAATATTGATCTGTTGATAATCATAAGAAACTCAATGTACTGTTTTGAAATAATAAGGAATTTCATTAGGTTTAGATAAATTTAGACTATAAGTAAAACTTTTCCAGGCTATTTAGTCAAGTTACTTACAACATACACATTCCTGAGAATACCCCATTGTAGTGACATTGTTTATTTCCAAATTTTTCCACATTCAACTTAAAAGGTGTTTCTTTCCAAGAAACTGAACTTTTCTGTCAAATGCACTTGATCAAATAGGAGAATTGGGTTCATAAAATGGATTCATTGCAAACTTTATGTATAAATCATAGACATCAGTAAAGAAGTTCTTTATTCCATCTCCTTGCCTTATGTCATGAAGCATAATAAATCTCATATGACCTGCAGTAATAAACGCTGAAACAAACCACTCATTGAACTTGTCCACAGTTTTCAAGTACATGTTGTTGGACAGCCACATGTTCTCATCTACAAGGTCAAGAGCAGCATGAGCTATGAACTGGTTCAGATGACAATGATCATCTTTGGATTCTGCTTTCCCAGCTGGCAAAAATTCCATTTCAAAAACTGGATTATCATGGTGGCCCACAATTACAAAGTAGAAGCTTCCAGACATTGTCTTCAATATATAGCTCCTGCAGGGAGCTGCCGACAGTGGACACAGCCAGTCACTTCCCTCTGCAGACTGGCGCTTGGCAGCCTCTGTCCTTGATAATATTTTTTAAACTAGATAATTACAGATTTTTTGAGGATTGAATTGTAGCATGAGAAATTAAAGTTAACCAAAGTTCAATAATTTTAGAGGATTTAGAGTTCCCACTATTCTCAATCCATATGATGTGTTTTGTAGGAAGTAACAGAAGTTACCCCCCAAAATCATTCTCTAACCTTAGTATATAGTTAGAGAGGAATATTTTAAAAGAAACATAGACAATTTTCATATAAGGCTAAAAATAAATTTCACCTTAAAAATTGTGAAATATGGGGCGCCTGGGTGGCTCAGGCATTAAGCATCTGCCTTCAGCTCAGGTCATGATCCCAGGGTCCTGGGATTGAGCCCTGCATCGGGCTCCCTGCTCAGCAGGAAGCCTGCTTCTCCCTCTCCTCTCCCCCTGCTTGTGTTCCCTCTTGCTGTCTCTCTCTCTGTCAAATAAATAAATAAATAAAATCTTTTAAAAAAATAAAAAAAACAAAAAGTGTAAAATATGTATTAGATAGAGAGCACATTTTATGTGTCACATATGTGTTAAGTGTTTTGTGTACTTTGCAGGAGTCCTTAGGTATTTCACTACAGAACTGCAATCTGAGAACAGTATGTAGACTAGTCCAGGGTATGAAAATGAGAGAAGTGAGATTAAGTTGAGAAGGGAGATTGGAGCCACACTGTAGCCGACCTCAGAAGCTAGAATGCTAAAAGAAGGTATTCATTTTACAAGTCTATAAGGAGCCATCAGAAGTTTTTAGCCAGGGGTACCTGGGGGACTCAATTGGTTAAGCATCTAACTCTTGGTTTTGGCTCAGGCCATGATCTCATAGGTTGTGAGATCAAGTCCCAAGTCGGGCTCCATGCTCAGCAGGGAATATGCTTGAAGATTCTCTCCCTCTGCCTCTCACCTGTGCTCTCTCTCTCAAATAAATAAATAAATACTTTTAAAAACAAGTTTTCAACCAAGGCAATGATGAGATAAAAATTAGGCTTTAGAAGAATTATTCTACCTGTGGTATAAGGAATTGATTGAATCAGGGAGAGGTGTGAGTCAGAATTTTCTGGAAAAGTCCAAGTATGCTAGCTTAAAGATAACAAAGTCCTGGAGTAGTATTGTAGAATAACCAGAAAAGGAAGGGGTTGAAGTGAAGAAGATACAGGATTTTGTGGTTGACTGGATGCCAAGTGATGGAATGGAAGGAATCAAAATGACTCCTGAGTTTTAAGCTCAAATAATTGAAAGAATAGTTTGGTTCTCAACAGGGGGAAGCCAGTTCAGATGAGAAACTGGTTTCAGGGGCAAGATGATATAATTTGTTTCGTGCATATTGAATTTGAATGTCTGATAGATCTGCCGTGATACTATTTGGCTGAGGGAATCCTGGGTCCATACTTTACAAGAGGTGTCTGGACGGGAGCTACAAGTTTGAGGGTCATCTACTTGACATTACAGTGGACACTGGAGATGGTAGAAAGTACCAGGGAAAGGGCAGAGAGAAATGAAAGGGAAGAGAAAGAGCTGCTAATAAAGAAAGGAATTTCAGAGTGTTGAATTTGAAGGAAGGAGAACATTTCCAAGAGCTTGAGAGTTAAATATGTCAGCAATTGTAGGAAACTTGAAAAACTGATAAAGGGCCTTAAGGACTGATAATTACAAAGTCTTAGTGACTTGTAGGATTATGGTGGTAGAAGTTAGACTGCAAAATAGTAAGTAAAACAGTAGTCATAAGATTTATTGACCATTGCCAGCAGAAATTAATAATTATCCTATGCTGGGATTGTAAAATAGGAAATATATCTATACTCATTAGAGACTGTTTACTCAAATAAGTGGATGTGATTTATCCACCTTAAGGCACCATACAGTTCTCCATAATTCTGTTTCTGAAAGCCTAGTCCCAGTTACAGTATTGGCAACCTGGTGGTTATCTACATATAACAGATGATTCTATTTTGCCAAATTTAATTAGCATTTATCATCTCATGTTAACAGTTTGTCATGGTCCACTGGGAGAAGAGAAATCTGTAAGTACAGTTTTTCTCTACTTTAATACACATTTGCTGTCATTCCTGTATTTGAATAGAAGTCTAAACTTGGTTTGTGTCTGTAGCCTGGAGAGGAATGGACTGCCAATTGTTACACATGCGCCTGTACTGATGCAAATACTGTGGACTGTAACCTCAAGGAGTGCCCTTCTGCACCCACATGCAAAACTGGAGAGAGACTTGTAAAGTTCCGAGATAATGACACCTGCTGTGAAATCGGATATTGTGGTGTGTATTCACAATACATTTGAATTGAATAGTTGTTTACTTATTCATGTATTCAAGAGATATTTATCAAGCTTCTAATATGTGTCAACTCTATGCTAGATGGGTGTGATCAATAAAACAGAATCATACTTGCCCTCTTAAAGCTCACTATCTTTGGAGTGGAGGAAACCGAGAATTAACAATTATGAATATAATCAGTAGATTAGAAGGAGATGATGGTGTTGTGGGAAGAAGCATTTTAATTGGTGGATAAATATGATCCCATATACAGTTTCTGGTTTATAAATAAGAACAGAATTATGTTTATTTTAGGATAAAATTATGTATTTATTTTTCAGAACCAAGAACATGTTTGTTTAACAGTATTGATTATGAGGTAAGGCCATTTTTACTTTAAAATATTTTTATTTGCATAATTATGAATAGGCTCTTTCACTTTATAATATGGAAAATTCATAGGTAATGGTGGAGCAGAATCTGTTAATTTCCCCCCCTATATTCATTTCAAAAGGAGCATCAAATGTAATACTCAGCATGGCTCAGTTCAAAGGGGGAAAATTTACTTAATCATTAACTACCTAACTTCTGAATAAAATTTCCCAGGGGTCTGACCAGATGGAGAAGGCAAACTCTGTGACATTCAGATCAATGAACAGAGTTGAACTGTAATTATAACCATAAAGATCAGATGACCAAACTGTCAGAAGTCAAATGAAAAACCCCCAAAGACTAGAACTGCATTATGTGAATATAGCAACACATATATTCAGGGCTGGATTTTGACAACTGATTTGGCATTTTGGAAAGTAATTTAGCTTTTTAGAAAGTACCAAGAAGTCATAAAACCCAGATGGTTCTCAAATTGATAATACATTTGAACTGGAGATACTAGATATTAAAAAAGTCTAAAATAAAATCTATGCAGTATGCTAAGAAATATATAAAATAGAGCCAATGAGAGTTTTAGCTCAATAACTTATTTATCACACTCAAATTCCTGTCTGGGTTTCTTAATTTTTAGTTTCCAAAGGTGATAGTGACTTGAGAATCTATGCTAGTTTTTAAACACAAAATACAATGATGTTTAAAGAACAAAAGGAAAGTTTTACCTCTAACCATTTATATGCAAAATAGTTAACAAAATTCCAGTTTACCAGAAAGTTGATTTTGCAGTTTGAAATATGGTTTCCCAAACTGGTGTTTGAATTTTGAACATAAATTATTTTTAAAGCAATCCAGAGAACTTTAAAAGTATAGGAACGCAAGCAGAAGTAGGAACACAACCAGAAGCAGAAGTAGGATGTCTTGTGGGACTGCCATTTGTGGTAATCTGATAAAACTATTTTGTACAATTTTTTTCTACTTAGATTTCCCCCTCAAACTTAGAGTATAACAATTGGTTGATTGCTCACCATAAAATAACCTTTCTCAAAATACTTGAAAAATAGAGTAACTGAGTAGGTGAATAGAGTGAGTATGTGGATCTTCATTTAAGGATTGAGAATCTTGACACATTCTGTGCTCTCAAGGAGGCACGCTGGCTTATTCATGGAAGTAGAAGTCTTTTAATCCACTTTTTCTTAAATATTAATTAATGACTGAAAGCATCTTCGGAAATTCATTAAACATTATGAATCTGAATTTTTTTTTTTACAGATTTTATTTTCAACCTCAAAAAAAAAATCACGGTGAATAATTACTTCGTTCTCTCTTCCTCCCTGCTTCCCAGATTGGTGCTTCATTTAATGATCCCAACAACCCATGCATCTCCTATTCCTGCTACGACACTGGTTTCGTTGCAGTGGTCCAAGACTGCCCAAAGCAGACCTGGTGTCCAGAAGTAAGTCATCTTCTTAAGTAGTGATCAACAACATCCACTTCTTGTAAACACAAGCTGTCTTCTTTCTCATTTGGAAAAGTATGTGTCTGGCCAACAGACATAAATTCCTTGTGGATTCCATTCCAGATATGTTTCACACCTTTTATTGCCAAGTATATTTTTCATATCAAAGTTATATTTGCGGGCTCTATAAAACTTAATTTAGTGCTATTCTAGAAGAAGTAAGTTACTTTAGAAAGGATTTTACCATTTTTAAACAAACCAAAAAAAAAATCTTGGTTTTTTCCAAGGCTCATGGATTCCAGTTAATTTTTTTTTAAAGATTTTATTTATTAGAGAGAGAGCACAAGCAGGGGGAGCAGCAGGCAGAGGGAGAGGGGGAAGCAGGCTTCCCCCCGAGCAGGGAGCCGGATGTGGGACTTGATCCCAGGACTCAGGAATCATGACCTGAGCCGAAGGCAGATGCCTAACCGACTGAGCCACCCAGGCACCCCCAATTAATCATTTTTAATAAAAATGCAAACTTTTCATAAAATCACATATAAGTTTACTGTTCAGAACTTTCCTTGTAACACAGTCTTCATTTTTACCCTCCCCCCCCGATATGGTGAGGTTTTGTATTGATAAATGCTGTTTTAATTAAATTAATTAGTTAATATAATAATAAATGCTCACAATTTATGGTTCAAAGTTAGCTAATTTTTCTTTCTGAAGATATAATTGATAAAATGGCTTAAAGTTTGATTTCAGAACTCTAATTTTGGATTTAAGCATTTATTGAGTTTTTACTTTGAGACATTGATAAGTATGAGATTATAATAATGTGTAAGATAAAAATCCTTCCTATGAGAAACTTACAGTGTCTAGTCGTAATATTATTATTAAAGTATTGTTCAATTAAAATAAGGGAGGGGTAACTTTTTTACCTTTTTGCATGTTATTTGAAAGATGAATTTAGTTTAAATATTTTTTCCCTTTCTACCCACTATTGAAAAATTTTAGTGCAAATATTCAGACTCATTTTTATTACTATGCTCTTTCATCCATGCTTCCTGGATCTGAGATCAGCATGTTTATCTGTTCCATTTTCCCCTTTGTAATATTATTCCAGTAAGTTAAGAAATGTTATATTATTTGTACAAAAATACAGACTTTTAAAGTCTTTTTTCTATTTCTCTTGCCCCTATAGGAAGACAGAGTCTATGATTCAAAAAAATGTTGCTATACATGTAAGTAGCATTAAGCTCCACATGTAGAGGAAATGTCAACTGTTGACAAAAATTTAGTGTTTGTTTAAAACGAAATGGCAGATCGTTAATAGAAAGCCTCCTGTGTTTTTAACATAACAGGTTATCTAGCCCATATGTATAAACTAATAATTGATACTCGTACATAATGTAGTTACTTTTTCATGTTGGTTGAAACAGTCTTACCAGTAAAAACCAATGATGTTTATAAAAGAGAAATTTAATTTTCATGAAAAAAAATGTAGTTTGCTCTCCTAATGTCGGCAGGTTGTGTTGTAAATTGATATATTAGATCATAAGGATGATCCAAAAGGAGAAATGGATGTCAAAAACAATCCATTCCCTTCATCTTCCTTCCCTACCCCTTCTTCCCTCCTCCTCTCTCCCTTTTCCCCTCCCTCCTCCTCCTCCTATGATAGGAATGATAGCAATAATAAAAAGATAACATTTATTAAAGACAATTATTGAATATTAACTGGGTGCCTTGTGCTGGGTGCTGAGGCAGTTAATCCCTTCAACAATGCTGTGAAGTATTTTTTTGTTGTTATTCTCTACTTAAGGTTAAGAAAACTGAGACTTAACAATTGTTAATGTTAAACCTCATTTGTGACTCTCTTATCCATTTTGTTTTAGGTAAGACTAATTGTAGATCTTCACCTGTGAATGTGACTATTAAGTACAATGGTTGCCAGAAAAGAATCAAGATGACAAGATGTCTAGGGGAATGCAAGAAGACTGTCCAGTGAGTTTTTCTTTGAATGTGTACTGTGCATTATCTTTGTAATATTGTGGAGGAAATTAAGCTTTTAAAACATCACATGGAACATTTTTTACATGACAGCTAATGATCAAAACCTGGTAAAACAAATATCTAAAATATTAAGATCTGACAAATAAACATTTTCAATAGTGATGAATCATTTTAAAGTAGTTTTCTAAATAAATCAAACATAATATGTTCATGGCAAATGTATTTATTTTCACACAGTGATTGCCCTTAAGCAAGTACTCTTGCTTAAAAGTGTGTTTCTAAACCATCACTTGCATGTTAGACATAATAATATATTTTTTTCCTTCATGGACACTTTCATGTACAGAATAATATATGGAGAATAATAATTTGGCATGAAATTTAAAAATCTGTTTATATTTCTGTACCATAATGCTCTAATTATGAGCTTTTACATTTCCATTTTGGATTTATTTATTTTGGTCTTACACACTAATATCACTGATCCACATCAGAAGTTCATGGTGAGAGGGAAATGCAAGGTGTAGGAAAAGAATAAATTGGTTGGAAGGATTGCTAAATCACTTCGACAATTATAATTTGAGCATTGATGTCAATTTGCTTCAGAAGATATCCCAAAAATATTTATTGCTGAATTTTCTTTTCCTTAGGTACAATTATACACTCTTTAAGTTGACAAATTCATGCCTTTGCTGCCGAGAAGATAACTACGAGTTCCGAGAAGTTGTTCTTAACTGTCCTGATGGCAGTACAATACCCTACAAGTATAGGCATGTCACAACATGTTCTTGCTCAGACATATGCCAACAATCTGTAACCCCACCAGTTAGTTAACACTATTATAACCTTTCCAGGTAGAACAGGCCAGCTATTTATTTTATAAATGAACAAAAATGATCACTAAATAGAATAACTAAACATTTGTATCTCACTCAAAAAGTGAGTTCTCATTATGAGGCATTTTGTTCTCTTGTTGACTGGATCTGAAAAATAAATACAACTTTGCAAGTAATTATTGAGCATATGTTTTTATTGATAGCCATAAGAATGCTACACCTCAAGGAGAAACTTAGTCATATCATGGCTGTCCAATATATTCTTCTACTCTTTATCTCAGGAGGACATTATCCTGTTTCGTCCTTTCCCTTCACAGCTAAACTTATTGAAACTGTTTTTGTTCTCTTTCCTCACTTTTCTATGCCAGTTACATCACCCCTTTCATTCTATGACAACTTCTCTTCTTAGAACACCAGTCACCTTATGATTCTTGAAGTAGGGTCTGATGCCATTTTCACTCTTTCTTTCTTGAAACATTTTTCTTGCTGTCTCTGTGACATCATTTTTAATAGTGTTCCTACATTTGTGGCCACCTTCGCTGTTGTCAGTCCTTGACATCTCAGTTCTCCAAAGTTGCATCCTGTTCATCTTCTCATATTACTCAGGCTCCTTGGATGATTTCACTGACACAGGTAGATGTGTTTATACACTGAGGATTTCCAGTCTGTGTCTCTAACCCCAAGCTCTTCTCTGAGTTACAGACACATTGATACAACTCTGAATTTATACCTATAACTGGATGTTCCAAAGCTACCACAAACTCGATAAGACTAAAAATGAACTAAAGGTCACTCCCCCAGCCCACTTCTCTCCTTGTATTTTGTATACATTGAGGTAGTTAGATAAAAGGAGAAGTTGAGGTTCAATAATGTCATGACTGTCATCTTCAGTATATTCTACTACTTTGCTGCCCACATACATATCCTTCTTCCTATACATATATTTCTAAATGTGCTTTGTACAAAATTATTTACATAAATAAAAATGTACAATTATTAACACTTGCCCAACCTAATTTATCATAACCCTTTTATGTACTACTCATCTTTCTATGTAACTTAGACTAGTGGTAAATTTAACATTCATTAAATACTATGCCCAGTGGTAGGGAAAGAAAATTGGTATGTTAGTATATTGGTAACTACCAACAAAAGATGAATGATATCTAAACACAGGTGTATATTACAGGTATCATTTTATAGTTGGTCCCAAGGCTCTTGATTTTCCTCCATGTCTGTCACTCATTCCAGCTTTTTTCCTCTCAGGCTGTACCAGAGTTTGTCAGTTGGAAAAACTATGAGGGATTTGAGCCCTTGAAAATCCAACTGGATGAAGTCGTAGGAGTTTTTCAATGCCTTTTACCTCAGGGAATGATAAAGCATAGAGTCAACAACACACTTACATCTCGGCCCTTACTATGTGATAGTACCTCTATTTTCCCTTGATAGAATTGATCATCTCAGACAATATGATAGCCTTTTCTGCTTAGGATGCTCCTCTAGAGTCACAAAAGGGAGTTTCAGCAAATGGAAGAGAATGTAAACATTGACTCATGGTTTAGCTAGTATCACCTCCTGCAGTCAGCACACAAAACTTGCTAGAAAATTAGGGGGGTAATACCCCTCAGCTGGTGTCAGAGTGGAATTCTCAATAGGCCAATCCTTCAAGACTTACTATCCATGAATAATAAGGAATTATAAAATAATTCATGCAACATGTACCTATTGCCTTTGTTTTTTGTGGTTTTTTTTTTGAAACAAATTCCTTGGTTGGAAGAAGTGCTGTGTAGCATTTCGTGGTAGTGAATGAAATATTCAATAAGCCTATGGATAGCAGTACTTTCTGAGGCATATTGAACATAAAAGGAAAATCAAAATCAGCAGCAGTTTATATCAGAAAGAACAAACAAACAAATATTGTTCTCTCCCCAAAAGAAAAAGATCAAAGTTATTCACTTGTTACCAAGTGGGTGACTGGCACCCATGGTGATGCCAAAAGGCAGATCACTTTATTTTCAGCATTGTGGTATATTCATACTGGCTTCAGGAAAGCAAATTTAGGCTTTTGAGCCCACGTATGACCTCCATCCTGCCCTAATTGCTACCTTATTCCTGAACCTCATTTAGCAACTGCTAGGTAGGATTGGAAAGATTTACTGACAAGGACAAATGTAACAACTACAGTTAATACATACTGTTAATTACCTGATTCTCCCATGAAAATTCCTGGTGGGGAACCTCTGGTAAGCACACACTTATTTACGTTCAGACCTGGATCAATTCTGTGTGACTCAAATGATTTCTCTGAATGTTCTTTGTGTCATTCTCCAATTTGTATCTCACTCAAAAAGTGAGTTCTAATTATGAGGCATTTTGTTCTCACGCTGACTGAATCTGAAAAATAAATTCAACTTTGCAAGCAATTAGTGAGCATATATATTTATTTGATAGCAATAAGAATTCCACATGTCAAGGAGATACTGAATATCATGGCTCTCCAATATACTCTTCTACTCTTCATCTCATGAGGTCATTATCTTGTTTCATTTCTTCCCTTGGTTATTTATACAAATTATTTGCTACTTCTAGGGAGTCAGTGTAAATCTTGACTTCAAGGCAACCTTCTACCAAGCACAATGACCAATGAGAAATTTCCTCCCCAGTTGTCTTTTTTGACCATGCCTGAGAAAAACTATAATACCACACAGCTCACTTTTCACTGATACTGGGGCCATTGGTAATGTGGTCTTGGGGTCATTGGTAATCCAGCTTTGAGTCTTTCTTTTGTGTCAACTGGTCATAAGAAAGTTCCCCCTTCAAGAAAAAGGCATAAATTTAAAAAAGAGGTGGCAGTCAAGTAGGAGGAATTACATTTTCAGGCATTAAGAAACCATCCATTGATCTGACTTTTACCTTTGAGACCTTAATGAGGGCAGGGGTTCCATTCTGTATATATGACTTCAAATGGATAGTAGATTGCTGCTGGAAATGCCTAACTTCATGGCTAGATAAATAAGATAATGCCCAGTCCAGAATGAGTAGCTCTGGTTCATGGTTGGCTGTTATTGCCAGAAGCCAGTAAAAAGCTAGTTTTTGCTGAAAATAAAATAGTTGCTCCAAAAGGTGGTGTGGCCTTGCTCCCAAAGCCTCCCCATGTTCATTGCAGCATTATTCACAAAAGCATAGATTTGGAAACAACCTAAGTGGCTTTTGACAGATGAATGGATAAAGAAAATGTGGTATATGTATACAATAAAATACAAAATATGATTCAGCCTTAAAAAAGAAGAAATCCTGCCCTTTGTGGCAACATGGGTAAAACTGGAAGGTATAATGCTAAGATAACTTAGCCAAAGAAATATAATGTATGGTATCACATGTATGTGGAATCTGAAAAAAAAAATGGTGGAACTTATAGAAACAGAGTAGAAAATGGCTGTCAGGGATGGGTAATTAGGGAAATAGAGGTTGGTAAATGGGTACAAACTTTCAGTTATGAGATGAGTAAGATCTGAATATTTGATGTATAGCTTGGTGGCTATAGTTGATAGCACTGTATTGTATTATTGAAATCGGAGGGGGAGATGAACCATGAGAGACTGTGGACTCTGAGAAACAAACTGAGGGTTCTAGAGGGGAGGGGGTGGGGGGATGGGTTAGCCTGGTGATGGGTATTAAAGAGGGCACGTTCTGCGTGGAGCTCTGGGTGTTATGCACAAACAATGTATGTGCATTGTTGCAATGATATAATGTATGGTGATTAACATAACAATAAAAAAATTTAAAGAAAAAATAAAGAGGGCACGTACTGAATGGAGCACAATTCATAAACAATGAATCATGGAACACTACATCAAAAACTAGCGATATAATGTAAGGTGATTAACACAACATAATAAAATTTAAAAAATATATTAAGGGATTAGAACTTAAGAAAAAGAAAAAAAGGTAAAATGTAAATAGGTGATGGATATGTTAATTAACTTGATGGGGGGATCCTTTCATAATGTATACATACTCAAAATCATTGTGTTGTACACTTTAAATATCCTACAATTTTATTTGTCAATTATACCTCAATAAAGCTGAAAATTTTTCAGTGTACATATTTAATGTATACAAATCAATGAATTCGGGGAAAAGTATACACCTATGAAACCATCACTACCATGAAGGTAATAAATATATCCATCACAACAGAGAAGCGACCACTTACTGGAAGGTAGGACGTGTGGAGAAGTGAATCCTAGGCGATATTCGGGAGGATAGACGGCGGGGGAGGGGGCCTCCGTCTGCCGATTCTGGCAAGTGATAGAGCCGCGGAGCACAAAATCGGACCTTTTAGAAGTAGGCTCCACTGAGGGACGTCGCTCCAGTGGCTAAACTGGGGATGGAACCCTCGCGGGACAGTGTGGTCTCAGGACCCTCGGGGTCACAGAAAGACCAGGGGTGCCTGAGTGCAGCAGAGCTCCCAGGTATCGGAGCGGGGAAGCCGGCTGCAGAGACGGAGCCGAGGCGCGGGGTCTCAGCTCGGGGTTGCCATAAACTGTGATCCGCGGCCCAGTCGGGCCACTGCTCCTCCGGCAGGGACCCAACAAGTGGCAGAGCCGGGGAGACTCCCCTTCTTCCCCCGGGAGGAGTGGCGCGGGAGCGCACTGCAGGGATCTGCTGGGTTTGGAGACACCACACGGGGTCGGGTGCCAGAGACAGAAACACTCAGTCACAGGCCGGGTGAGCACGGAGTGCGGCCGGAGACCGGGGAGACGGGAGTGACTGCTTTTCTCTGGGGGCGCACTGAGGAGCCGGGCCCTGAGTTCTCAGCTCCTCCGAGTGGAGATTGGGAGGCCACCATTTTCACCTTGGTCCTCCAAAGCTGTACCGAGAGCTTGCAGGGAACAAAAGCTCCTGAGAGCAAACCCGAGCAGCTTGCTTAGCCCGGACCGACAAGGGTGGGGCAATTCAGCCTCCAACAAAGACATTTGGAAACCACAGCAACAGACCCCCCCCCCCCCGGAAGATCAGCACAAACAGCCAGCAAGCTAAGACCAAGTTTACCGATCAAGGAGAACGGGAGAACTCCAGCGCTAGGGGAATACTGCACATAGATTCATGGCTTTTTTTTACCATGATTCATTAGTTCATCAAAGTTA